TGGAAATTCTGCAACTGTACTTTTCCATCTCTTTACTTTGTAATTTCCTTTGTTCCAAATTGATATCTCTGGTTCCCTATTTTCAGTCTTATAGGTTTGTTTTCCTTTGTTGTTGTGGTGGTTAAGTTTTGTCATAGCAACTCTATATGGGGTTTCCAAGGAGCGGCTGGTGAGTTTGAACCACTGACCTTGCGGGTAGTAGTAGTCCAGTGCTTATTCTACTGTGTCTGTCATGGTATTTTACTTTGGATATGTCTATCTCTGGGCTGACTTCTGGTGGGTGTTGTCATGTATGTTCATCTGAGGTTGTTGTGAACTGTTGTTAGTAAAGTAAGGTTGGTCTGGTTTTCACAGATTCCTTTAATTTCTGTTTATCTGGAAATGTCCTAATTTTACCATTGTATTTGAAGGACAGTTTTGCTGGGTATGTGATTCTTTGTAAGGAGCCCTGGTGGCACTGTAGGATAAACACTGGACTGTTTACTGCAAAGTAAACAGTGCAAACCTACCAGCTGCTTCTCAGAAGAAAGATATGAGGCCTTCTGCTTCCATAAAGGTTTACGGCCTCAAAAACCCTATATAAGGTCACTATGAGTCAGAATTGCCTTGATGGGAGTGGGTTGGGATGGTTCTTGGTTACCGATTTTTTCTTAGTTTATATATGTTATCCCATTGCCTTTTTGCCTGCATGGTTTCTGCTGAGAAATCAGAGCTTTGGTGTTACTGGGTCTCCTTTATAGGATTTCCTTTTAATTTTTCCTGAGCTACTCTCAGATTCTTTCTATGTCTTGGTTTTGGAAAGTTTGATTATGATATATCATAGTGATTTTCTTTTGGGATCTATCCTGTTTGGGTTTGTCCAGCTTGTTGAATTCTTATCTTCTCATCTTTCATGATGTTATGGGAGTTTTCTTCCAACAACTTCTTGATAATTTTCTCTCAGATTTTTTTTTTTTTTTTTTTGTCCCTTTCTATTCTGGAAATTCGATCACATGTAAGTTATTCCTTTTGACAGTGTCCCATGTAAATCTCAGGCTTCCTTCAGAATTCTTTGTACTTTTTTCTGTTAGCATATTAGTATTAAGAAATCTGTTTTCACACTCATTAATTGGCCTTCCATTTATTCACTTCTACTCTTTTGTTCTTTCGTTGTATTATCTATTTCTAAATCTTAGGATTAAGCTTCTGGATTTCTGTTTTCTGTTTTTGTATGGATCCTTTTTTTCACCCCCCATTGATTTTGTTAGTTTGTTCTTGTAGTGTTTTCCTGAGGTTTTCTAAAGTTTTGTTTGTGTTTTCCTTTGATTTCATCTGCAGCTTTCTTTATCTTTCTCATAATCCATGTTGTTGTTGTTAGTTGCCATCAAGTCGGTACCAACTCATAGCGACCTCATGCATAGCAGAACGAAACACTGTCTGGTCCTGGGCCAACCTCACTATCGTTGCCACGCTGCCCATTGATGCTGCCACTTGGCCAATCCATCTCATTGGACATATTCCTCTTTTTCTCTGACCCTCCACCCTCCAGCAACTGGTCCTTCCTGACAATGTGGCCGAAGTATGAGGGACGAAGTTTGGCCATCCTATCCTCCAAGGAGCACTCTGGCTGCACTTCTTCCAACACAGATATGCTGGTTCTTTTGGCAGCCTATGGCACTTTGAATGTTCTCCTCCAACACCATAACTCAAAAGCATCAATTCTTAAAGGATCTTCCTTATTCACTGTCCAGCTTTCGCATACATATGAGGTTATTGAAAATACCATGACTTGGGTCAGGCGCACCTTAGTCTTCAAGCTGACATCTTTGCTCTTCAACACTTGAAAACAGTCATGTGCAGCATATTTGCCTAATGCAATTTGATTTGACTGCTGCTTCCATGAGTGTTGATCCAAGCTGATCCAAGAAGAATGAAGTCCTTGACAATTTCAGTCTTTTCTCCGTTGATAAGAATGTTGTTTATTGGTCCAGTGGTGAGGATGATCGTTTTCTTTACATTGAAATGCAATCCATACCAAAGGCTGTGTTCTTTGATCTTCATCAGGAAATATTTTAAGTCTTCTTCGCTTTCAGCAAGCAAGGTTGTATCATCTGCATATTGCAGGTTGTTACTGAGTCTTCCTCCAATCCTGATGCCACGGTTTTCTTCATATAACCCAGCTTCTTGGAT